TGTGTAATCGTTGTTTTCGGTTATGATTGTTCCCAAGTATGTATATCTGTTCACCTTTTGAACGAGTTCGTCCCTAATCCATAACGTGTCCTGTTGTTGTGTCTTTGCGATGGTCATGAATTTCGTCTTTTTGATATTTAAAGTAAGTCCAGCCTCTTCGCTACTGTCTACAATCTTATTTATCAGAACCTGCAATTCTTCAACTGACTCTGCGATTACTAAAGTATCATCGGCGTATCTGATGTTATTTATAAGTTCTCCGTTGACTTTAATTCCACTTGATGTTTCCTTTAGTGCCTTCTGAACTACCTCTTCTGAATAGAGGTTAAAAAGCAGCGGAGACAATATGCATCCCTGCCTTACCCCTCGTTGTATTTCTATTTCTTCTGATAGTTCGTTGCCAACCTTTACAGATGCAACTTGATTAAAGTAAAGGTTTGATATTATTCTAATATCTTTCATATCCAGATTTTTATCTTGAAGTAGCTGTAGGAGGCGATTATGTCTGACTTTGTCAAATGCCTTATTGTAATCAAGGAAACAGACATAAAGAGGTTGGTTAACATCCATACATCTTTGGGCCAATACATTCAGGGCAAACAAGGCCTCTCTTGTACCCATTGCGTTTCTGAAGCCAAACTGCGTGTTACTAATATCTTGCTCCAGTTTTCTGAAAATTCTTTGATGTATAATTTTCAAGAATATCTTTAGAGTGTGGCTCATTAAGCTGATGGTTCGATGGTCACAGCATTCTCTAGCGTTAGCTTTTTTCGGTAGAGTCACGAACGTCGACTTAAGCCATTCTTTTGGAATGACGCCTGTATCATATATGGTGTTGTACAAGTCTTTTAGTATATCTATTTGATCTTCTGCGATTAATTTTATAATTTCCGCTGGTATCTCATCAGGACCTGTAGCTTTATTATCTTTTGCCAATTTTACTGCATGCATGACTTCTTCTTTTGTTATACTGGGCCCCGTTTCTCTACTGTTGTATAGTTCTATGTTTTCTGGTTGTCTCTCATCTTTAAATAATTCCTGTATGTATTGTTTCCATCTTTCTATTTTCTTGTTGTTATCAAGGATAATTTTACCTTTTTCATCTAATAGAACACTACTGTGGTTTGTTTTTCTGATGCCGGCCAGTTCTTTTACCTTCCTATGTAGATTAAAGTCATCATGCCTTTCCAATAGTACTTCTATTTCCTCACACTTGTTTGAGTACCATTTTTCCTCCCTACCAAAGTCTATACTCCTTCATATATGAATAGTGGTTATTTATACTCAGGGTTTAAGATAAATTATTATCTTTATTAAACTTACCAGGAAAGTCTTTTTTCTTTGAGGCAGGTACATAAAATCTTAGCTGATTAAACAAATAGTTCAACCTTCTGCCTGTCATACCTTCGAAGTGTTCTGCGTATTTTTCCCAATTTATAGTTTTAATATCAGTCTCGTTATTCGCTATCATTCTGTAAAAAAATAGTAAACGTTACAAGATGGTAGATTTTTTTACAAAATTTAAATCAAGTTTACATTGATTCCTGACAAAATAAAAATCTACAGAGTTTTATAGAATGGAATAGAATAGAAATATGCTTTATTGCTACTGAAAATTGTACAATTTTATGAACAAAGCATACAAAAAGTCAAAATAACAATAAAACAAACAAAAAAAGAAATATAACAATAACAATTTAAAATTTGCTAAAATTACATAAATAGTCAATATCACAAAATAAAAGATAATAAAATACACAATCCATTGCAGAATTAAATAAATTGCAAATTGCATAATAAAACCTCAAGTTTCTAAAAATTCTTACGTAACTAATAAGTTTAAGTTGCTGCATGTAACACCCAATATATATAAAAATACTTTGGTTACTTGTACATAAACGCACTTAGTTATTCGTTAAGAAACTCTTCCACTGAATAATATGGTCTTTCAGATAGATATGCTTTTGTCACTTTACGGAACTTAAGGAAAGAAATTGCAGATTTAAGTTGCAAAGGGTTGTATAATTTTTTTGCCGAATATAATATAGATTTCTTTATTAACTCAGTAGATGGGATCAGTAAGTTTTCAAAGGAATCATTAATTGGTGAGACCAGGACTTCCAACACATTGTTTTAGAGATTTAAGAAGATTTTTATCAAAAGTTAATCAGTACTACACGAATATTTGGTTTTGATACTATTATTGTTTGGATCAGTTTAGATCTTCCCAGACGATTTTGATAGTACATTTTTTTAGCTGTTTGGATAAATTTTAGATAGGGTCCTGTGTACTTGGGAATATATATATATATATATATATATATAATATATATATATATATATATATATATATATATATATAATATATATAAGATATAATATAATATATATAAATATATATATATATAATATATATATATTATATATATATATATATATATATATATATATATATATATATATATATAGTTAGTTATATATATAGTTATATATATATATATATATATAATATATATATTATATATAATATATATATATATATAGTTAGAAGATTTCATGTGAAGAATCGTTTTGCTACAAAGATTATTTGGGTGGAAAGCGTCCTAATATTAGTAAGGAGTTTGAAGAAATATTGGTAATTCATTTAAGAGTTCTTCCTTTTTTGGTTTTAACATGGTAGAACTTCGTAGACTGGCATTTGAAATAGCAGGAGGAGATTGGCTGCACGAATTTTAAAAGGAAATCCATCTATAAGTTTGTGTTTTTACCAGAAAAAACTTCATCGGCTAGAGCCCAAGCGTTTAATAAACCAAAAATTATGGAATTTTTTTCAATGTTGACAAAGGTTGTTGACGACAATAATCTGTCTCCAAACCAAATGTGGATAAAAGTGGCTTCTCTACTGTACATTTCAGATCTGCACAGATATTCGCAACAAAAAGGCGCAAGCAGGTTTGCATATTGTCAAGTGCGAAGATAGGTATTCCTTTTACAGTGATTTGTGCTATAATTACAATTGAAACATTTGTTTCTCCCGGTATCATATATCCAAGGAAAAAATGAAACAAGATCTGTTAGACCACGTTTTGCCAGGTTGCGTAGGATTGGGCCAATAAAAGAATGAGCTAATAAAAATTTGTTTCTAAAATGGTTCACACATTTAAGATAGTGCGTGAAACACTCAATGACCTGATTAGATGCTGTGCATGGAAGTCATAAGCACTTCGATGTATTGCAATTTGCAAAACAAAATGGTATTATTTTATTTTGTCTTCCGCCCCATAGCACGCATCGTTTACAACCATTTAACGTAAGCGTCTTCAACCATTTATTTTAATCAGGAAATTCAGAAGTGGTTACGATAGAATCCAAGTCGTGCTGTGATGCAGTTAGTTAGGGGCGTTATTTTGTAATGCATACAAAAAAGCAGCTACAATAGAAAATGCTTGGTGGTTTTTAAAAACAGGAATTCAATCTCTAAACATGGATATATTTCCTGATTATGTTTTCGCTACTGCTGAAACTACAAATATTGTAAATAATGACGAAAATTACTTGCCAAATGAAGTTACTGAACTTGAAGAACCAGCTGAAGAGGCAGTCTCTTCTTAAAAAGTAGTTCTCCAAAACTAGACGAAGATAAAATGTCAACATTTAAGAAATCTCTTCTTCAAATATCGCCGATTCCTAAAGCGCCTGCATCACAGGACGGCCTAAAAAAAAAACGAGAAAAGAGCGAAAACAGGTATATTAAACAACTCATCAGCTATTGCACAAGCTGAAAAGAAGGAGAAAAAAAGACGGAAGATGCTTAAAAAGATGCGGAAGAAAAATAAAACCATAAACGGAATAATTGGTGAAAGCGAAGAGCAAGAAGTCAAAATGAACGAAAGCGACCATGAATCTGATGCAGCTTGCCTCTACTGCAATTAATTATATTCAATATCCAAAACGAGAGAAACGTGGATTCGTTGTCAAAAGTGTAGCAGTTGGTGCCATACAGAATGTACAGGTGTAGAGAGAAAAATTAAAGTGTTTAAGAGTGAATTATGCATATAAATGTTAATTATATATATATATATATATATAATTAATATATATATATATATATATAATATATATATATAATATATAATATATATATATATATATATAATATATATATATAATTTGGAGTTAATTGTTTGATATGACTGACGAGTTTTTTGTTTGACTCATTTAAAACTGGTCATTTAACAGGTTCAGTTTTTGCTTCCATTTGGCTTATCTTTTCTTGTAGATAAAGATTGTTTTGTTTTAAAAGAGAATTATTTCTAGTAGTAAATTAAATTTTTCTTCTTTTTAATTTATAATATTTTTAAGTAGCTCATTTTCTTTGTATAGATCGCGTTTACCTTGGAAATTCTCCTCAACGTCATTAGATTTCTCGTTTATTTTCACAGCAAATTATTCGTGTGTCACAAATTTTTGATGCACTGAAGCTTACTTCTGGTTGCACATGACAAATGAAAAACATTTCCACATTGTACACAAACTAAGATTTTAGTAACTTTACTTTGACAGCACTTAAATTGCTTCTCTAGGAAATTTTCGTCATTAACTAGAGAGAGCACATTTAAACGCTGCTCACTAGTCGGCGCCATCTTGAATTGTCCTGTTTCTATTGTTTTCGATAGTTTGCAATATTTGTTTTGTTTGATAGGCTCGCAAGTCTGACCTTATGCTCTTTTTAACTTTATTGTTGATAGCCTTATACTCTGGTGATTCTTTCGATGCTCTTCTTTCTTCACAAAATCCAGTGTTGTTTGTTTAAATTTCGTTTTTTCTCGGATTTTTATTTTTACCACAAATCTTTTTTGCAGTTGATGTTATTGACATTCGTTAATTTTTGTGTTATTTCATTTATATTTTCGTGTTGAATACTAGTAGAGGTCCTAGTCTCTTTTTAGTTCACTTTGATATTGCTCTTGATTCATTTCCACTGCTTCTTCTTCTGGTTCCTATCCGTTTCGGATGTTGGAAATCATATTGGCAATCATAACCTTGCTCACTGCGGCTCGAAACAGCTCCGTTGAGGTTTTCTTAAAACATGTTCTTAAATTCCGCAGCCATGATATTCTCCTTCTACCGGGTCCTCGCTTACCTTTGACTTTACCTTGCAATATAGACTGTAGCAGGGAGTAACGGTGCTGATTTCTCATAACGTGTCCCAGATATTGCAATTGTATGCGTTTGATCGTAAACACAATCTCTGGTTCCTTCTTAATTTTTCCTAGAACTTCCTTGTTTGTGATCCTTGCTGTCCATGATATTCTCAGCATTCTTCTATAAAGCCACATCTCAAATGCTTCAAGTTTTTTAATAGTGGTGTCTGTAAGCGTCCATGCCTCCGCCCCGTACCACAGAGAAAACATAGCATCTCAAATGTCTCATTTTGTATCAAGGGATATGTTGTGACTTTTGAAGATGGCGCTCATTTTGTTAAAGACCGTTCTTGCCTTTCCTATGCGGCACTTTTTTTTCTGTAAATTGCTCCACTGTTCGTTAATAATAGTTACAAGGTAACAATACTGTTTTACTCGCTCTATCTGCGTCCCATTAATGTATAGATGAGCCTTGTTTATATTCTCCTTGCTGATAATCATTTGTGTCGTTTTGTGGGTATTAATGTTTAGTCCGTACTGTTGACTGTACTCGTTTATTCTGTCCATTAGCCTCTGAAGTCCCTCTAAACTATTTGCTATCACCATGGTGTCGTCGGCATATCTAACGTTGTTTACTCTTTCACCATTTAGAAGGATGCCTTTGTCTATTCCGTAAAGAGCCTCGTTAAAAATTTTTTTGAGTACATATTAAATATCAACGGCGATAGGATACATCCCTGTCTAACTCCACGTAGTATTTTTATATGATCTGTTTCTATGTTCGGTAAATTATCCTGTGTTAATAATTTTTGAATCGAAAATTATTAACACAAAAAGAATCGAATTTCGTATTTACTTCTATTCGCACCCTAACTAATCGACGATCACTACCAGTGTTGACAGAATTTAATATAGTAACATCCTTAGCAATGTTGTTGAAGTTAGAGAGTATAAAGTCAATTTCATTTTTTACTTTGCCGTCTGGGCTGTGCCACGTCTATTCTGCCTCTGCATCTTTTTCTTGTAGAATGTGTTTAAAAAGTATAGTTTTTCTTTGCTGAGGAAATTTGCGAGCATATCTCCCCTGTGATTTCTACTTCCCAGTCAAAAACTTCCAATATATTCATTGTCGTTGTTATTTTCGTTCTTTCCTATTTTAGCGTTGAAATCTGCCGTAATTATTACGTAATATGTTTTCTCAAGTTTCTGGCTCTTGTAATTTCTTCATAAATTTGTTCTACATCTTCATCATCTGCAGAAGAAGTTGGTACATTTTATATGCGTTCAAGATCTAGTACAGAATCACCTTGATGAACTGATACAACTTTTTCCAAAATAGAAAATCCTTAGTTTTTGTTTAAAACATTGCATTTATTTCCTAAAGTTATGCCTACGTTTCCTTTAACCTTACGAAAGATTTTTTAACATGATTAATCAAATCGACTGATTGCCAAAAAGTCAAACTTTGTTTTTTTATGTCCACAACAAGAAATTTAAAATTGAAGCTTATGTATGCTAGATTCTGAGGTAAATTAGGTAATTGCACTAGACATTTACATTCCTCCAGGCTATTGAAATGGAATCTGTTAGTTCTGTAATAAAACTTTTTATTCCTTGCAAATAAGTTTCGATTTCCACTTCAAAATCGTTTTCCGAATTAGAAATCCAAACGTCAACATAAAGATACTTTAAACTAAAATTATGTTTTTTCGAGTAGAAAAGTCGAAATAGTAAATTGTAATTAAGATGTCACAAGAAAATAGCTTCAGAAGAATATAAACCAAAGTTAGCATTATAAATATAAATTTTATACTTACAATCGTATAAGATCTTTTTTAACCGTAACAGTAGCTTCAGTTTCAAAAAGTTTCGGATGCACATTTATCTTCCAACCTGATTTTATTTTAGCAACAGGTATGTTATCTAACAATGAGGACACTTCCTTCCATTGGTCAGAAGTTAGTGCAATCTGTTCTAAATCTTCAGCTTTTCGTTTACCTATAACATTATTAGAGTTATTTGGTAACAATAAACTATTTAACACATATGAAAAGATAGACCGTTACAAAATACTATAAACAATTACACCTGTATGTATAATATGTATAAATACACCTAATTACATGTTAATCACAGTGTTTTTATTTTCCATTCTCTGTGCATATGAGTTAAGACACAACAGTAAAACATGCCATAAACAAAGTTTTACCATCTTTACCCTAAATTTTAAAATGTATTTTGTCCATGATTTTATAGTTTTTATATTTTAATGTGTGTTGTAAATGTTGAGTGTCAATGCTTTTATAAATAATCTCAACGACTAGTAAGTTACACTGAAGAATTGTGATAGTTTTTTAAATATTTACATATTTGTCTTATTAAAGTGTCTTGAAAAAGGAATAAAACCATTCCGAATATATATATATATATATATATATATATATATATATATATATATATATATACGATGACGAATTGAAATATTTTGTAAATATTTACACATTTTTTTATATAAAAAAAAAGTGTTTTGGAAAAGGAATAAAACCATTCCGAAAGCTCGACAATAAGTCAAAAGAGTGTTAATCTGATATCTCGGCCAACCTTCTGACAGTTTTGTTTATATCGACAGTCACTAATATCCTGTATTTCTTGTATATAATATATATATATATATATAATATATATATATATATATATATATATATATATATATAATATATGTATATATATACAGTAAGCGCCACGCGACTAGACACATGGGTACCTAATTTCTTGGCTTATTTGAACCACTGGGCTAATCCGGCCCGCTCTCACATGTGACTTCAGCCGTCGGTTGTCGATCACAGATATCGGCGTATGGCATTTCATTTATGACTGATTTCTGCGGAGAATCAAGTGGGAGCGAAACTATTCAGAATTGTTGAAACTATTGTTTTTCCATTGAAAAAAAATATATTTTTAATTATGGAATATTCAACTGAGGAAAAAGTTCAAATTGTCAAATGGTATTACCAAGGTAATACGCTTCGACAAATACAGGAATTATTTGCCGGTGCATTTGAAAACCGTCCAACTCCTGCATTAAAAACGGTATCGCGTGTAGTCAATAATTTTGAAAGTCAGGGATGTGTCAACCCTCGTAGTCACAAGCGTAATCCTGTTTTTGATGAAAATCAGGAACAGAAACAAGTGATGATTTGTGCGTGTGTCAATGAAAATCCTACAATGTCTTGCAATGAAGTTGCTGAGGTAGTAGGCACAAGTGCTACTACAGTTAGAAGAGCTTTGAAGAAAAATCGTTATCGATCATATAAAATCAAAAAAAGTCATGAAATATTTCCTGAGGACAATATTACGGTACATGGAAAAGGCTAACCATGACGATAATTTTCTCAACAATATTGTTTTTACGGATGAATCGACATTTCCAGTACTAAATCGTCATAATTTATCCCGCGTACGTTATTGGTCTCGGGAAAATCTACATCGTTTTTTCGAAGTGCGTACACAGTATCCCCGAAAGTTAAACGTATAGGGTGGAATTTTGGGAGATAATATGATTGGACCATTCTTTATAGACGGAAACCTAACTGGAGCAAAGTATTTGGACCTAGTACAGCAGCAAATTGTTCCGGAAATTCATAGAATCGCTGGCGACAGATTTGATGACATCTGGTTCCAACATGACGGGTGCCCTGCACATAACAATGCTTTGGTGCGGCAATATTTAGATATTACCTTCCCAAATCGTCTAATATGCGGAAGACAAGGAATTATCTTGTGGCCAGCGAGATCACCGGAACTGTCACCCAATGATTTTTTCTTATGGGGACATGTCAAATCATCTATTTATGGTCATGACAGAGCTAGTAATTTGGAAGAACTTAAATTAAAAATTGAACGTGCGTTCCAAAATATTAGCCCTAACATGCTTGCTAATGTACAGTCAAGTTTTTATGACCATTTGGGTTACTGCCTTGCCCAGGAGGGAGGACTTTTTGAGCATGTTTTGTAAATATTTTGTTTGTATTATTTATTTATATTTATGTATTATTTTATATTTCTTGAATTATATTTTTAGTTTGGAAGAATTTCGTTGTTTTTGTTTCAAAAAATAAACTTTTCATAATTTTTTTGATTAATTACTTGCAATTTAGTATAAAATAAATCACCTCGAAAAACATGTTTTTTTTTATTAAAATAGTATAATGTACACCTATTTTACAATACAAACTTTTGAAGTATCATTAATATTTCACGCCTTTTATAAAGTTACAATAATTATATTAAATTAGAATTGTTTTTCTGATAGGTTTAATGAGTAAAATAATATCAAAACAAAACATATCCATAGAACTCTTTTTTTACAAATACTCGACCTGAATTAAACTAAATTAATTTAACTAAACAAGTTTTGCTAGTCTCATTGTTTACTTTTCTCACCTGTCCACTTTTCGGCATAAACAGTGAAACATGTGTTTCGGCCCAGGATTGTATCAGCTCAATGTGCCCGTGTGTCTACTAGCGTGGCGGGTACTGTATATATAATATATATATATATATATATATATATATATATATATATATATATATATGTATATATATATATATATGTATATATATATATATATGTATATATCTGTACCTCAGAGCTAAACTGTATTAACTCCATTTTTTTGAAAAATTGTATTATTTCACTTTCTACATAACAGACTTCACATCTTTCATATGCAATACGATATTAAATCCTATTTAATGTAGTTTCAAAGATAAGCAACCATAAAGTGTATTAAGTCCCTCAGTAGTTCCGAGCTAAACAGTCGTTTACACTTAATACCCAGCAATGTAAGTATTATTAGTAGTATTAGTGGAGTTAATATCACATGCACATTTAAGATGTATTAACTCCACGGAACGACGTAAAACCGCGGTGTGGCACTGTAGTCAGTGTGTTTATGCTATTTCACATTGATGGTGTGTGTTTAATAACATTCTAAAGAATGTGTACCAGAGCAGATAAAATTGTGAAAAAAGCTTTAGAAAAGCATCAAGAGGTATGCTTTACTTCTCCGACGCAATGCAGTACTGATTCTGTGGAAAACAATCAAGCATTATCCTCTTCGTCGGCGATAAATAAATCTAACCTCAAAATAGGTACGTCTTAACAAATTTATTTAAAATAAAAAATTATTAGCCTTCAATATTACATAAAAACTTAATACGTATTTAGATATTTGGGCGATTTTACGTGGTATTTTAACCGAAAATCCTTGTATTAAAAATGGACTTAGTACACAATAATTACTTTAAGACCGACAGACTGTATTAACTCCATAATTCGGTTTATAACTTAAATATTAAATGTAGTTATTAAATTAGGATAACAGTAATTATGTTTTAGGAAAAGTCGGCGATCTTGATGAAGGTACAAAAAACCAAAATATGCCTATTAAAATTATTTCTAATGTTAAAATTGCCTCACCTGTATCTTGCGAAGTTGTTATAGACAATGTTTCGCCATCTGTTTCGAGCAAAGGTATAACACAATTATTTCGGTTTTTGTAAATAAATAAAATATGTACATGTTTTATAATTTTTAGAAATCAATTTGCCCATATCCTTAGATGGAAATTACACTAATGGTACAATATCAACACTGAATCATGGATCCACAAGTCTTAATACACAAAATGTTGTAGAACTTGTCTCAACAACAGGTATATTTATTTATACTTCACAATTTCCTATTTGAATCATAATATTTTTTTGTTTAGTTTCAGAAAATGGAATCATTTTACAGACTGCTTTACCCATTACCTGTAGTCCTCAAAGTATGGCAATTGTAGTGCAAGATAGAGAAGAGGTAGATCACGCGGATTTATGCTTGGAGTCTGATGACTCTATCAATGATAAAACATACGGACCAACTGACAACGAAACAGATAATTCTGAAAGTGAGTCAGATAATCAAAAACTCCCAGGTAAAAAAAGGAAATCAAATCCTCTGCGTTGGAAACGGAATGTTCGTAAAAAACAAGTGGCCGGTGGTAAAAAACGCCAAACCAAGAATACAGTTTTGCAATCGAAGCAAATTGGAGCACCATGTAAAGAAACCTGTAGCGTTGGGTGCACAAAAGCTATAACTGAAGATCAAAGACGTTGCATACATTCTGAATTTTGGGATCCTAATAAAAACATCGACATGAAAAGACAATTTGTAGCAGCAATGGTAGAATGCGTACCTGTGAGACGTATCCGGGAAACCACAGGAGCACGTTCTGGCATAAGGGAATTTACCAGGCGTTATTCATTATATTTTAATCATGTAAGGTATAAAGTTTGTCAGAAATTCTTTCTGTCTACCTTAAGTATATCCGAGACATTCGTTACAACAGCTCTTGCGAAGAAAAAGGAATGTGGAGTAGTTAATACAGACCAAAGGGGTAAACGTGAGCCTGTCAATAAAATTCCCGAATTCATCAAACAAGGCATTCGGGATCATATTAGCAAGTTCCCAACTATTGAATCGCATTATTCTAGAGAGCGTTCTCAGAAAAAATATCTTGGTTGTGAACTAAATATTACCAGAATGTATGAGATATACAGATCTGAGTTAATGGAAAGCAATACACCCGAAGAAAACATTGCTAAACTTTGGCTGTATTCTGAAATATTTAACACAGAATTTAATCTTTCATTTAAACTTCCATACAATGACACGTGTGATGAATGTGACAGATTAAATTTGGCCAAAATTCAGATGGTAGAAGGAAAAGAAAATATTGAACAAGATTATCAACAACATCTTTTGGAGGCTAGTAACAGGTATGAATTAAAAAGACTTGATAAGGAAAGAGCAGCAACAAGTGGTGGAACAATAAAATTATTGACACTGGATTTACAGAAATGTCTGCCAACGCCTGTTCTAAGTAACCAGCAGAGTTTTTATAAGCTCAAGTTATGGACATACAATTATACGATTTCAGACACTTCAGGTA